TTTGAGGACTAGGCTGCTTAAATAGATTTAGAAAAAAAATTTAAAGATTTATTTATTTATTTGAAAATCAGAGTTACACAGAGAGAGAAGGAGAGACAGAGAGAAAGAGGTCTTCCATCCGCTGTTGCACTCCCCGGTTGGCCACAATGGCTAGAGTTGCGCCAATCCAAACCCAGGAGCCAGGAGCTTTTTCCAGGTCTCCCATGTTGGTGAGGGGCCCAAGAACTTGGGCCATCTTCTATTGCTTTCCCTGGCCATAGCAGAGAGCTGGGTTGGAAGTGGAGCAGCTGGGACTTGAACCACCACCCATATGGGATGCTGGCACTGCAGGCGGTAGCTTTACTCATTACACCACAGCATCAGCCCCGAAAAAAAATTTTTTTAAACAACCAGATAAAAATAATTTTCTAGGAAAATACCGCTTTGTGCAGCTGAGCCTAAAGAGACCGTCAACTCTCAGTGGAGAAATTCCCATAAAACAAGCCAGAGGAAATTAAGTTGGAGATAAAGCTGTTCCCCCAAATATGTCAGACGCGGTTGTTTTTGCCAGGGAGCGCGCTCAGGTCTTCAGAAAAGACCGCGTTCTGGTGATGTCGACCCGTTCTCAAGAGGGTCTTGTAAAAAGACAGCAGGCGTGCAGAGTTTCCAAAGTAGCAAAATTAACATGGCATTGGTACCCAAACCCCGGGAGACGGGACCAGAAAACCAGCGTCAGCCTCTGTTGGTGATACTGATGTAGAGCTTCTGCATACCCCACTAGCCAGTGGAGTGCCCCAGCAGGTCCCAGCGGCAGGGTAGGAGCTGCAAAGACAGTGCGTGACGCTGAACGCTCATTCTGTTACAAAACCCTTGATGCGTGGAGACTGCGTGGGTTCTGACCTCCCGGGATGACCCAGGTCTTTGGCAGCCACACTGCTTCCCGTTCAAGGCAGGAAGAAAAGGAAGGTGTGTGCTCTTCTGTTGCTTTCCTGGAGGTATTGAACAAGGAGGTTAGCCAGATGACACTGGTGGTGTGAAATTGGAATGCAGGCTACGGTTAGCACTGTTGCCTCTGCCTCCTCTTTATTGCTGCTTTTCTCTCCTGACCTCTATTTGGGTTTTTTTTTCCCGCTTTTGGAAAAAAAGCACTATATATTTAAAAGAGGACCCAACTATTACTTTTTAATTCCTAAACAACATAATGTACAATTTCCAGCTCTTTCTGGCTATAATTGTGCCCCCCAAGTAGTTCTTCTTTTCAAAGGTTTATTTGTTTATTTGAAAGGCAGAGTTAAAGACAGGGCTAGGCCCGGCTGAAGCCAGGAGCCAGGAGCTTCATCTGGGTCTCCTATGTGGGTGCAGGGACCCAAGCTTTGAGCCATCTTCCACTGCTTTCCCAGGTGCATTAGCAGGGAACTGGATCAGAAGTGGAGCAGCTGGGACTTGAACCAGCACTCATATGGGATTCTGGCATCACAGGTGGCAGCTTAAGCCACTGCCAGCCCCCTGAGTATTTTCTTGTTTATTACTCAGCATCTCACCGTCAGGTTTTAAGTGAAGAAGGTAGGTGGTTGGTGTGTGTACGTCTAGTTCTAGACTGGGTTCTGATATTAACATACTAGAAATTCACATGACTGAGCACTGTACCTCCAGTGCTTTTTTTGTACTTAGAAGCCAGGAGATGTATTCTGGCTTTGTTTTATGTCATCGTTCAGACAGCCGTGGTGGAATCTTGCAGTCCCATACCTCTGCACACCATCAAGAGCTTTGAAACAAATTAGTGCCTTGGGACTTGTTAAGCTTAAAGGTTCGTCCTCCGGTGATTGAAGCTCCATTTTAACAGAGTTCTACTTTCTTTGTACGTGTCACTCACTTTCGATTATTGGCACCAGAGTCCCTCCGTAAAATCAAACTTCTACTTTCAGGCGGTAACGGTAGCTCTCTTTTGAGAATCAGTCGTATGGAAACATGACTTCAATTTTAACTTTTTCTGATTACACAAATAATTTTAGAAAACAAGCCCATATGAATATTTAGTAGCACGTAATATACCTGGAGTTGGAACTGCCCTTTGCTTCATGGTGTACTTTAAATATGTCAGCATGTCATCATTAGCAGGCGCTTACTCGGGAGTGACCGTATGTCTCTCCGTCGTATGAAATTAATTTAGCCAGGGTCTCTTCTCGGCAAACATCTGCAGCCTTGGCTCTGTTTTTCTTCCAGCCCTCTCTCTCCTTCCTCCTTGGGTTACTCATGGGAGAAAAATGAAGTAGGCTGTTATGTCGTGGTTGAACCTGCAACGGGAAATGTTTAGTTAAAGCAAATGAGATTTTCAAGGTTTGGCTGTACCTTATGTTTAATCGTCGTTGCTAGTTTGCTTATTGATATTTCAGCCACATCTTTGGTTCTCTGTCTACTGCCTTCACAAATGTTCCCACTCAGGGAAATGTGCCAAACTGCCTCGCGGTGGATTTTTCTGGAATGGGTAACTTACAGAATTTAATATAAAACGATGTCCTATTTTATCATGGGGAAGCTACTAGCCACATGTGGACATCAAGTTTAACTTACCTTAGGTTAAGTGAAATAAACTCAGTTCCTCAAGTGTGCTAGCCACAGTGTCTGTGCGCGATGCTCACACGTGGCTAGCAGCTCCCTTACTGGATGGCAGCTGTAGAACACAGTGGGTGGACTTTATAGAACATTCTGTCGGCCAGCCTTGGAGTCAAGTCCATCCTGTGTTGATACAGGCAAGTCTAGGACCACTGGGAGGTGTCAGAAGGAAGAGCTACTTGGATGTGTGGAAAGACACCATCAGGTTCCTCTGGGGGTGGAAGACAGTGGCTCCCGTCTGTCCTGTGTCTGGGTACACACCCTCCATGCCCCTGACACAGGTCGTATCTGTCCATGAGACGGTGAGTGAAGCCAGGAAGGAACACATTTTAGACTCCTTAAAGACTGTAGGACTGGTTTTACTGACAACCAGTATATAAGTCATAGAGACACATGGCGTGCTTTGCTAAGTATGGGCCTCTGTATTTATTATGGCAAGGAAGCACACACTTGGGCCAAGTTATTGTAATCAAGTCAGATGAGGTTAGGAGAGGGTAGGCTCAGTGTTCTGGGATGGTGCCTCTTGAGATGACCTGACTCTTGATGGTTATTTAAACAAACAAAAAGAATTTAGCTCTTAGGATGGTTGGTTTTTAGGTTCTGCTTCCTTGGTGTCTCAAATCAAATCTGGACTTTTTTATTGCTTGTATTTTTTTTTTTTTTGAAGTTGTTTACCTTGATGCGATAAGGGTTTGCAGATTCCAAGATACGAAGTAGAAAACCTTGGCCAAATTATTATGGTAATGTCATAAGTGTCAAAATCCTCTCCCTGGTGCCAGACGTTAAGTCCCCTGGTTGCCAAGAAGGTAATGGAATCCTCTCTCAGCAATCACGTCTGGCTAATCAGAATAAAATCTATCTTGCAGACTTTTACAAGGGAGTTTGGTTGGCTCTGAGTGTAATTAGGAGTATATACTTGGTACCTGTTAAAAACAGGCAATTGTGAGGTGCAACTGGTTTGCACGTCTACTGGGGAGTAGTTTTCTTCAGCTCTGAAGACGCTAGAGTGAGTATAAAATGGTAAGGACACCCACGCAAGAGCTGCGATGGGTGAATCTGGGAGACTGACAGATCCACGTTTGCCACAGCATCTCCCATTTCTTAATGCTGTACTGCTGCCTAACTGCATTAAAACAGATTCTTGTTTTTCTGTTTCTTTTTTCATGGTGATGACGAGTGAACGACCAGAATGCTTTTTTAAAAATTTATCAGTGTCATTGTTTTATAAATGATATTATTTAAGCTAAATAGCTGTAAGACTCCTTCGGCTCTTTTCAAAATTTGAATTTGGGGGAAAATGGGCAATTGGAAGCAAACGCTGAAGAAATGAGGGGAGCAGTGAGCTTGATCGGGTGCTGTGGACTTGGCGCCCACGTGTGCACAGCGCCAGTGTCGCCCTCGTCCATGCCAACCTGTCAGAATATGGCTGCCAGTTTATGCTGCACAGTAGTCGTAATTTATGTCCCTAGCAGGAATGTAAGCTACAGCTGATGCTTGAGGCACTGAGGCAGTGGATCTTAGAAATTCTGCATGTAAGAAAATGGACGTCTGCCGGCGCCACCGTAGCTCAATAGGCTAATCCTCTGCCTGTGGCGCTGGCACCCCGGGTTCTAGTCCCAGTCAGGGCACCGGATTCTGTCCCGGTTGTCCCTCTTCCAGGCCAGCTCTCTGCTGTGGCCA